GCCATTTTTCCGCCCCTGACACGTGGTCCGCAGCCATTTTTCCACCCCTGACACGTGGTCCACGGCCATTTCCCCCCCGACACGTGGTCTGCGGCCATTTTTCCGCACCTGACACGTGATCGTAGGGAGGGGGACTCTCCCTCCAAGCAATAGCCGCCTCCCTGTCCTCCACGCCAGGATTAATGGTAATTACATTGAACCTTATGGGGAAATTTGCTTCGGGTTACGACCAATTCGGGCTGCTACCAGAGTCACGGAATGAATTAAGTTCGTAACCCGAGGTACCACTGTAATGGTTGATTTATGTTAATTTAAACAAATCATTTGAGAAAATTTCTTAATATATCTTTCCTAACAGTATTGTAAAATGTTACTGTATGATATTACTTGTAGATAAATCTACAGCTTTTTAAGTAATTGCATTCTGTAAACTGCTCATTAATGGTTCTGGCAAGAGTGCTGTAAGACTTCATTGGACTGATCCGTTAATATATGTGTGTGTGAATGATTTCAGTTACAGTACAGAGAAAGTGCTTCTTAAATTTGCAGAAGATCACAATGGTGGTTAGCGTCAATACTGATTTTGTCTTAGACAAAGCCCTATATTTTTAAAAATACTATTGTAATAGGATAAGGTAGATTTGGCCTGCGTGCTGCTCTTTTTTAATTAGTATCATAGTAGGTCAGAAGCTGAAGATGAATTTGCAGTTTTAACATAACGAGAATTATAGGGCCCAGATCATAGAATGTAGTATCTATTTTCCAGTGCTGATTAGAATGCATCTGTGTTCAATTCTAGATGCTGTATTTTTAGAAGAAGATTGTTTATACCTGCTTTTCATAACCATGTAAATCAATCTTTTATAGCCAGAGGGCTACAACTGGCTTTTGATTAATGCACTGGTAGCTATATTGCAATAAGTTAATAGGGTCATTGCAAAAATAAATTTGATTTAATAAATTCAAAATTAAATGCTGTTAATACTCATGTATATGTAATACAGTATTTTCTCCATCTGACTCATTACAGAATATATCTTGGTGGCATCTTTTGAAGGAGCTGTAACAGAAGTATGTGAGCATTTTTGGGAGCTGCGCTTTGTACCTATATGCATGTGATAGAGATTGATGACAAAGATGGGAGAGCTAGCTTTATGAAGCATGGTTGAAAGGGCTGGGCATGTTTAGCCTGGTTAAAATAAGTTTAATGGAATAGACATGGTAATGCTTTTAAAAGCTCTTATGGAAAAGATGGACAATAATAGAAAAAAAAAAGCAACCTATATGCATGTGATAGAGATTGATGACAAAGATGGGAGAGCTAGCTTTATGAAGCATGGTTGAAAGGGCTGGGCATGTTTAGCCTGGTTAAAATAAGTTTAATGGAATAGACATGGTAATGCTTTTAAAAGCTCTTATGGAAAAGATGGACAATAATAGAAAAAAAAAAGCAAAAAAAAAGCAAAATCATCAATTACAGTTTTCTGTATTCCCATATTTAATCTCACAAACCTTTTGCTAGTCACAGGAAACCATATCAGAGAATAACTGTGTTCATTATTTTAAAAAAGGAGAGAATGAAAACCATTTATAGCTTGCCAAACAAATGGATAGTTTTGTTGTAAAAATTGAATTGTTAACGTTTTGGCTCTAACTTAACATTCAGGTTGCCTCTTCAAGAAATATATGAGATAGTAATAATGGGAATGTTGATTTAAATTCATCCACTGAAGCTAACATATGTGATAGACTTGATAATGCCACCGTTTTTCCACAACCTGAGAATTTCTGCCTATATTTTTTAAAGAAACAATCTTTACAACTTTCTCTTAAATCATTTTAGAGGATGTCTTCTCGATATCCTACCAGCTAAGAGAGAGCAGCAACAAGAGGATCTCTTCTGTAAAACATTTCCATGGCACCAGCATTGTTACCTTTTTGGTTCCAAATGAAGCTGTTCTTTTTCCAGGCTTTTAATACATTGCTATTTTAAGGTTCCAAGTCTTACTTTTTTTTAAAAAAATCTTAATTTATCTGGAAGCACTGCTAAGAGATAGCTTGTAAAGAAAGTATAATAAAAACTGACGTGCATGTAGGGATAAAATGTGTGGTTAACAGAATAAAGTTCCATGAATAACTATCCCTAATCCCAATGTGTAAACATAAAGAATTTGCATGTGTTAATGTCTTCATGTCTTGAGTCTAACTGTCCCCTTACAATATGTGATTTTAAATATTATAGATAATAGAAACCATAAACAAATAGTAGCATTTCATTAACTCAGTATGGTAATATTCCTAATGTTACCAATCTTAAAGACAATTTTGCTCTGGAAATAAGATAAATCTCTCTGTAAAGATAATTTTTGTCCATATGGGTATAGCATATTCTGTTTGATTAAATTATATTTATAGTATATTCTTCTGAGTAGTTCAAAGTACTTTGCATGACATTTGCAGGATATTCCCTTATGAGTTCAGAGACAAAATTTGCTTAGCTTCAGTGGTAAAACTCCACTGTGTGAATTTAGATAGTTCTTTGCATTATCTAAGAACTATCTAAATTCTTTAGCATTATCTAAATGCTAAGATAATTTATATGAAGACCCAGAATTCAGAGGTTCTGATGAGAGTGCTATAAGACTTAATTGGACTGATCCATTCATATATATGTGTGTGTTTAAACGGAGTTTATACTGAGCCATTTTAAAAAAATATATAAATGGATGTAAATCTGCTATACACAACTTAGTATTAGTTGTATAAAAAAGCTCCTTGGCTTTTTCAATATGTAGAATCTTAAATCAACCTGGTGTATGAAATCTGCATAACCTAGTGGTTATGAACAATGAGCATACTCCTGCAGCTTCTGCTAATTGTCCTTGGTAAACAATTGCTTCATTTTTTGTTTTTTCAAAGCCTTTTAAAGGGCTTTGTAGGAAATCTCTTTCCTGCCAAGATTTGCCCCTTCATGGAGTGGAGTCATGCCCTTCAGGGCTGGCCAAATCATTCTGTGCATGGAGAAAAGAACATCCTTTTGTTCAAAACATAGAAAAGCACAAGTGATCTGGCATTGAAAACTCCCCTCTTTCACCATGCTCAGGTCACTGAACCTGAAGGGGAGTTTGCTTGACAGAGTCCCCGTCCCCTCTGCAAAAAAAAAAAATTCATTTAGTTCCAAATCATTGCACCTTTATTTATCACAAAAGTTGCCCCAGAAGATGAAAATAGATTTGGTACTGTCCACAAATTTTTATTTTCTTTATGGTTATTTCTGAACACTGCTAAATTATTAACAAAACTGATTGTGAAAACATTGCCTCTTAAATTTTTGTGTAGAATTATGAACAGGATTGATATATGTAGACTGCTTTGACGATCAGCCCACTAGTTTCTCCTAACCTAATATTGTATCTGAGAAATTCAGTACAATGTTGGAAAGAAACCTATTCTGTCACCTCTACCTTGGGAGCAGAATACACCTAGTTGGAGAGTTGGCATTTCAACCAATTAGCAAGTGCCAAGAAGCTCACTCTGGTCCCTGTCAGAAAGGGGTAGCAGGAATAGGGCAGGCACACAGAAAAACTCTGCTTCTTTCTTCTCCAATTCAGAAGTTACAGCTTGTTTTGCTTTTCTGTTTATGTTCAGCAAGTACAGAGCTGAAAGAAATAACAGGCTTTTGCCAATTGTTAGGGCAGGGAGAAAATCCGTTCCCATTTTGCAGCTTCAGTGTTGGTTGCCAGAGCTTGATAGGTCTATAAACAAAACTGTCAAGCTGGAGTTATGAAACAAATTATACATGTTATCTTTAATAGAGTTTATCTGTCTGCCCAATATCCTGCTTTGCAGTTTTTCTTACAATCTATTCATCTTTTAAAAATTACTTAATATTTTATAGTAGCCTATTACCTTTTTACCTTTGTTGGGAAGCATTCTTGAGGAGAGGGAATCTTTTCATGTTTGTTATTGATGTGCGCGGAGTCCTTGGGGTTCTTTGAACTTGGTTGTTTTCTTGTAAATGTTTCGTTACCCAGCTAGGTAACATCTTCAGTGCTAGAATGGAATGGGGTTTGCTCTCTATTTATATATTGTGGTTGTTTTCTTGTAAATGTTTCGTTACCCAGCTAGGTAACATCTTCAGTGCTAGAATGGAATGGGGTTTGCTCTCTATTTATATATTGTGGTTGTTTTCTTGTAAATGTTTCGTTACCCAGCTAGGTAACATCTTCAGTGCTAGAATGGAATGGGGTTTGCTCTCTATTTATATATTGTGGCATGTCCTGTCAGTATTGGTGGGGGTATGGGTTTTGGTTTTCTCTATTTTTTTCCTCTGGTAGTTCCTTGATTAAGGTGTTGCTTACTGCTTGTATGTCTGGTGGTAATCTTGGTGTTAATCTCTGCTTATCTGGGTGAAAATGTTTCGTTACCCAGCTAGGTAACATCTTCAGTGCTAGAATGGAATGGGGTTTGCTCTCTATTTATATATTGTGGCATGTCCTGTCAGTATTGGTGGGGGTATGGGTTTTGGTTTTCTCTATTTTTTTCCTCTGGTAGTTCCTTGATTAAGGTGTTGCTTACTGCTTGTATGTCTGGTGGTAATCTTGGTGTTAATCTCTGCTTATCTGGGTGATGATTGCTGGTGAGGAGATGTTCTGGTCTTTTGTTTTTCTTTCTATTGTCTCTTTTGAATAGTGCGTAGATGTGCCTGTTGATGGCTGCCTTGTCTGAATCAAGCTTCCAAGAATTCTCTCATGTTTTTGGATTTAGCTTGGTCTAAGATGCTGACCGTTTCCCAGGTGAAACTACGAAGACACATGAAACCATCAACAGCATCTTCAGAGGAATAAAATTCACCAGAGAGGAAGAAAACGACAACACACTACCCTTCCTGGATATCCTCACCAGCAGAGGAAACAACAGCAAATTAGAAACCCAAGTGTCAGAAGACA